CAGCAGATTAGGGTATTAAGGCACTTTATCAAGCAATGTATGCTTTTAAATTGCATGCCAGAATAACAGGTGCCCGGAGAAGCAGCATGAGCAACTTGAAGATGTTGACGCATATATCTCACCAGATCTAGAAATGTTTACTGTCTTAGCTGTTCCAGTTTAACAGCTGCAGGATCTTAATACTGGAAACCACAGAATTCCAGTCATCAAATTTGGTCAGTTCCATAACTAAGTGAAAATAAAATTTCACCAGGCCACTTAAGGAGTTCAGAGTTTGGTCCTCAACTACCTGAAATGGAAAGCTGTTCCAGAAACCCACTTCTCCAATGTAAAGAACTAAATGTTCTTTCTGGGGGGGTGCTTATCAAAACTGAATCTTATGTTCTATTCAGTTATATTCTATAATAGTCTTGGTAGTGTGTTGTGGAGTTTTAACTTCTCTGTTTTTCTGTTGCTTCCCCAATTTGACCTGACGGGTACGTGGGAAAACCTACTGTACGTGAACATCCAGATTCCTGTTTCGTGTGTTGTGGAGTCACTGGTGGGGGTCATGTTGTACATACCAATGTTAAATTTCATTGGTCACGCTCGTCTTTCGGAAAGTCCCTTTACCACACCTCCTGAAATTTAAGCATGTTTTCTAAATGTTCCACAGTTTAAATCACTGATATACAGTAGATCAGGCATGTTATTGATGCCTTTTGTAAAAACGCCATTTGAAATATTGATTTAGCAATTTAACTGCATCTTTATTGTCTCCTGTTATTGATCCCTATATGGCTCATTAATTTTTTACTTCTGCGTAGACACCCTGCAGACACACCGGCCCTCTGGGACCTGTATGAGACTACCCTGGTCTGTTTGCCTGGTGTTTGTTCATTAGATTGTAGCCAGTGAGAGGATGTTTTTAGGACCCTAAAAAGACAATACACAGCGTGCAAGTATCTGACCAGGGTAAGAGACCACAAGGAGGAATAGACAGTGACCATAGTCTGGCCTGGGCTACAAATGCAGACCTGGCTGCCCAGAGAGAACATGCTGAGTGACCAAAGACTGGTCAAAGAAAGTGGAAACAAGCAGAGGCACTGGTGTACTGTGAGGAATATTCTGGGATTAGACAATCATTCTTCCCTAAAAAAAATCTATTTCAAATTCTCAGCTCCCAACAGCTCCCAAACCTACTGGAGGAGGGAGGAGGAAAGTCAATAGAGCTACAGCCCAGTATGTGATCTCCAGGCACAGGCATGTGGGTCTCCTTATAATGTTTCATGAAATGTCCAGAAAAGTCCCATTTATATTGTAAATGTTCAGTTCATTTTTAACTGCGCTGTTCAAAATTCATCGGTCATGCCAATAAAGCTCTTTGAATTTTAAATTTGAAAC